GGCCAGGCTGTAGACAGTCATCACTCTAAATATGGTCCTATGTGCCCCCTTCGTAGGGGGGGATTGGCCACAGGTTAGTGTACGGAAGGTGCTAGAGCAGGGGCTGGGGGCTTTAGAAGTACATGCAAACCATAAAAATGAACTTCTCAGTTTTTCCCCCTTTGGTCTGTTTACTATAGGAATTCTGTTATATTTGTTTGATAAGTGCAACAGCCCTGATGATCTTGTCAGAAATCCAGAGCTGTTACGTATTCTCTGCACACTTCATGGGTTATCTGAACGAGCCCCCCTAGTTTCTATTTGAGACTACAGAATCATTAGCTTTTATGTTGTAGAGATCTGAGAATGGGAATGGTTGTAGCAAAAGACAAAGGGCAAGACTGGCTGACAGTTCACTAAAATGCTATGTGTTTTCAGCCCACCATAGGGCGTAGGTGCTGAGTGCATTGCTGGCAGATCAACATGTATTTATCTGTACTTGCAGGGTGTTTTAAAATAAAACAATGTGCATGTATTACAGAGATCAACTGCATATTTTTTTTGAGATGACATAAACTTTAAAATTATGTAATAAATATGTGAGTTGCCCTTTTCTTTTGAAGGCACCCCAATGCAGATACACAGGAAAAAAGACCTGTGCAATAGTGCACCATAAGGAACAGATTTAAATGCAGGTACTTTTTTTGTGTCTCGAGGGTTGTTACCGTAATTCAGTGCAAGGGCACATTGCAGTTTCTATTCCATCTGAGGACGGACACCACAAAGTGCCCTGGCCCCTGACACTACCTTAGAAATCTATGTGTATTCCACCATTTGGCTCAATATGCTCCTCATATACCAAGTACTGGTACATAAAAATAAAAGTAGAATTGTCTACAAATTCTTTAGAAAATAAGAAGGCACACAGTACATTAAAGACATAGAGAAATGTTTACCTTTGGGTAGGCATAATGTGTACTGGCTGGGTAGTCGGCACCCACAAAGTGTGGCAGCTCCATGTTAGGGACACGGCTAGTGTTGATAGAGAGGTAGGCTAATCTAGCCCCATCAAGAGACCACCAATGAGCTATATAGCTATGCAACACCTCTTCTGAAAAGCAAAAAAAAAAAAAGAATTCAGGTGAAATCTATATTTAAAAATATCTTACCATTATTTACAAAAAACTGTAATAGCTGCAGATATTGTCACAAGACAGTTACATAAGGGCCAATGTGTGGTACATTAAAAAATAATACTTAAAGTGTTACTAAACTGACAACAGAAAAATCAGTCTGTATATGCAGTAAAGCATGCTTGTTATATTCACTGTGGAACCTAAGGGGTTAATCCTCTGCATTGTGTAAAAAAGGCTGTTTGGTTCTGTTTTCTCTGCCCCTCCTCTTGTTCAAATGTCCACCTGATAAGACAGACTTAACCCGTAGTCACATGCTCAGTTTAGTGTGTATTGGTAGAGAGGGTTTTTTTTTTCTTGGGAGAGTGCATGTGAACAACACCGGGCGAATCAGCACTGTCCAGACAGAGGTCAGGGATTTTGCATCCTCCTAGAGCAGAAAGAAAACTCCTCCTACAAGCTTTAACATGTGCTCGGCTGGACACTGATAGAAGTTACAAGACTGCTGACGAGAAAAGGTATTTAGCAGTTTATATTCACTAAAATAATTGAATTTCCATGTTATGTGTACTGTGGGAGACCAGATATAGTGAATGCAGGGTCCTGGGTTTAGTAACACTTTAATAACACATAATAATAATAATAATACAAAATGTAAAACAACAAAATCGTAATAAATAAATACCCAATAAATCACCACCACTAAACCATTACTCCCCAGAGAGCATATCTGCAGTAAAGGATGGATGTAGACTTACAAGACGCCACATCCTACAATAAGTAGCAAGTGGATTGGATGTAGAGTGTAGGAGAAATTTTCAGTTCTTCCCTTATATTCAATCATGTATACATTTTTCCCTTAACTTAGAGCAATAGGAGATCATTGCTTTATGTTTGATTGAAAACTATTGAAATACAACTTTTGTGTCCCATTGGGGAGATTTCCTTATGCTTGCTGTTCAACAGAGGCAATGGGGAGTGAGAAGATATCTCCACAACGTGAGGAAATTCTCCATTTAGACAAATGTCACCAGATCAGGTCACAAGGATAAAGAGAGGGGAGAATCTATACCCAGCAGTGTCATAGACAGTTTAGTCTGCCTACCTATCTAAACAAAAAGCAAGATATTTTGGCTATACATACACTTTAATGCAATGATGTATCAGCTGCTAGTGTAACTGTCCATGGCTATGAAGGGCCAAGATGACTACACAGGAGGCAGGAATTGATGGGCAAGCTTCTGCACAATCAGGACCCCTTTGGGAGACCACTGCAGGTTTGTGCAGGCACAATTGAAGCCAGCAATTCATACCAAAGGCTGTTGATACCTCTCTTTACTTTTGTAAAGTCAATATAGAATGAGTTAGTGTCACTTCCTGCCCAGTATCAGATGGGGTTGTCAGGAATGGACTGGCCAGCAATGGTGGGACTCGCCTGCCTTATAGGCTGCAGTACCAGGGCTGGCCAGCGGGTGCTCCCAGCAATCAGAGACTCAACCTTGCAGCCAGCTAAAACACCTGAAACTGCTTACACTGGTGTATTTAAGGGATGGCCAGACCTGCAGACTCTGCCTTGGTGTATGTTTTTCCTGGGCCCTGTATCCTGTTCCTGCTTCCTGTTTCTGTTCCTGTTCCTATTCCTGTCTTGTTGCTGACCTGGCCTGATCTATTCCTCTGCTGACTTCTCCTGCTCTGACCCCGGCTCGTTCCTGACCATCCCTCTGCCTGACCCTCTGTACCACGCTGCCCGCTACCTGCTGACCCTGGCTTGTGACCCCGACCATTCTCTGCTTGCTCCCCCTGTACCTACCTGCCCGATTGATATTGACCCGGCCTGCCTGACGACGCTCGCATTGTTTGTACTGTTATCTGTGGGTGGTTGGCTGGGTTTGTTTGCACTGTATTATGTTTAGTATTGCACTGCGTTTATGTTTGTATTGTTAGTGTTAATAAATCGTATTGTTTATAACATATCTGAAGTCTGCATTTCCCTGCGTCAGTCACACACCTCTGGTCATACCCGGGAGCCCTGACATTACACCAAGGCCAATCCTGACCAGAAGTGGCTGCACAGGGAAGCCATCTTGGCTTGTTGATGGGAAGGATGGATCTGGATGAGGTTGCGTATTTATATCTGCTAGTGTTTGATGACAGGGAGTATGCTTATCAAACTCTGAAGGAGTATCCCCGGGATGAACTGCTAGAATGTATACGGCTCGCTCATGTTCTAGTAGATCAGGGCACAGAGTTCTCTGAGGTGCAGCCATTGATTGAGGTTTGTGCTGAGTTGGTTTCATCTGGTACCCCCGAATGCAGGGATGAATTTTTGCCACCATTTAGTGCAGACCAGGTAGAGTCCCTGGTGTGGTTATTAGAGGATGATGTGGGTTACTTTCTGGAGCGTTATTCCACATGTTCACCACAGACACTAAGAGATTGTATAAACGCAGTGCAGTCTTTGGTCAGGCAGGCTTTGTGTAAGCTCAGCTTTGTTCAACCCATACTGCAGACATGGACAGACTTGTTACACCCAGCCTCAGTCAGCTTACAAAGACCCAGTCCTGCTTCTAATCTATTTCCTCAAAGCTCTACTCCTGTATTCCCAACAGCTCCTCCAGTTACAGCCCAGTATACTTGGCTATCTACCGCATGTCAGTCCCCTGTTCCCACTCGCTGCACCTATCCAGAAAAAAAGCGAAAATTCTTTCCAACCAGTACCATCCTGCCAGTATCCAAACCGGTCAGCCTGCCGTCCGAGAACCTGCCTTCCGTGGTTCAGCCTGATGCCTCTATTCAGCCTGATGCCTCTACTCAGCCTGATGCCCTGCCTTCTACTCAGCCTGAAGCCTGATGCCTCTACTCAGCCTGATGCCTCCACTCAGCCTGAAGCCTCTACTCAGCCTGAAGCCTCTACTCAGCCTGATGCCTCTACTCAGCCTGAAGCCTCCACTGAGCCTGATGCCTCCACTCAGCCTGATGCCTCCACTCAGCCTGAAGCCTCCACTCAGCCTGAAGCCTCTACTCAGCCTGAAGCCTCTACTCAGCCGGATTGCTTCTACCCAGCATAATGAACTGATCCAGCCTGATGATCCTATTAGGCCAGTTGACTCGATGCCCGCTGTTGATCCAGATGATCCGGTACCTGATCCGGTGCCCTGCTGTCGTGCCAATTGACTCAGAGCCCGCTGTCGTACCTGGTGACTCGGTGTCCGCAGTCTTGCCAGACGACTCGGTGCCCGCAGTCTTGCCAGACGACTCGGTGCCCGCAGTCTTGCCAGACGACTCGGTGCCCACTGTTCCGCCAGTTGACTCGGTGCCCGCAGTCTTGCCAGACGACTCGGTGCCCGCAGTCTTGCCAGACGTTATCGGTCGGTGTCCGCAGTCTTGCCAGACGACTCGGTGCCCGCAGTCTTGCCAGACGACTCGGTGCCCGCTGTTCCGCCAGTTGACTCGATGCCCGCTGTTCCGCCAGACGACTCGGTGCCCACTGTTCCGCCAGTTGACTCGGTGCCCGCAGTCTTGCCAGACGACTCGGTGCCCGCAGTCTTGCCAGACGACTCGGTGTCCGCAGTCTTGCCAGACGACTCGGTGCCCGCAGTCTTGCCAGATGACTCGGTGCCCGCTGTTCCGCCAGTTGACTCGATGCCCGCTGTTCAACCAGACGACTCGGTGCCCGCGCAGTCTTGCCAGGCGACTCGGTGCCCGCAGTCCTGCCAGACGACTCGGTGCCCGCAGTCTTGCCAGGCGACTCGAAGCCCGCTGTTCCGCCAGTTGGCTCGGTGCCCACAGTCTTACCAGTTGACTCGGTGCCCGCAGTCTTGCCAGTTGACTCGGAGCCCACTGTCGTGCCTGGTGACTCAGTGCCAGCCGCCGCTCCGCCTGGGGGCCCGAGACCTGTCGCTCCGCCTGGGGGCCCGAGACCCGTCGCTCCGCCTGGGGGTCCGGCGCCCGCCGCTCCGCCTGAGGGCCCGAGACCCTGTCGCTCCACCTGGGGGTCCGGCGCCCGCCGCTCCGCCTGAGGGCCCGAGACCTGTTGCTCCACCTGGGGGTCCGGCGCCCGCCGCTCTGCCTGAGGGCCCGAGACCTGTCGCTCCACCTGGGGGGTCCGAGACGTCACTCCGCCCCGACCGCTCCGCCTGGGGGCCCGCCTGGGGGACCTGTCGCTCCGCCTGGGGGCCCGATGCCTGTTGCCCCGCCTGGGGGCCCGATGCCTGTCGCCCCGCCTGGGGGCCCGATGCCTGTCACCCCGCCTGGGGGCCCGATGCCTGTCGCCCCTCCTGGGGGCCCGATGCCTGTCGCCCCGCCTGGGGGCCCGATGCCTGTCCTGCTCTGCCTGGGGGCCGGTGCCTGCTGCTCCCGCTGGGGGCCCGGTGCCTGTTGCTCCGCCTGGGGGCCGGTGCCTGTTGCTCCGCCTGGGGGCCCGGTGCCTGCTGCTCCGCCTGGGGGCCGGTGCCTGTTGCTCTCCGCCTGGGGCCCGGGGCCTACTGCTCCGCCCTGGTGGCCCGCTGCCTGCTGCTTCGCCTGGTGATCCGATGTGCCTCTGCCCGGAGTTCCTGCCCGATGTGCCTCTGCCCGGAGTCCAGCCCGATGTGCCTCTGCCCGGAGTCCAGCCCGATGTGCCTCTGCCCGGAGTCCAGCCCGGTGTGCCTCTGCCCGGAGTCCAGCCCGATGTGCCTCTGCCCGGAGTCCAGCCCCGATGTGCCTCTGCCCCGGAGTCCAGCCCGATGTGCCTCTGCCCGGAGTCCAGTGTGCCTGCCTGTGCCCTGATGATGTTGCCTCTGCCCGGAGTTCTGCCCGATGTGCCTCTGCCTGGAGTCCAGCCCGATGTGCCGCTGCCCGGAGTCCAGCCCGATGTGCCTCTGCCCGATGTGCCTCTGCCCGGAGTTCTGCCCGATGTGCCTCTGCCCGGAGTCCTGCCCGGTTGTGCCAGTCTTTGATATCCCGCCAGTTACCAGACCCGGGTGGTGGAACATTTTGCCCAGCTAGGACTGTTTGGAGCGTCCTGAGGCCGCTCCTTGAGGGGGGGTACTGTCAGGAATGGACTGGCCAGCAATGGTGGGACTCGCCTGCCTTATGGGCTGCAGTACCAGGGCTGGCCAGCGGGTGCTCCCAGCAATCAGAGAGACTCAACCTTGCAGCCAGCTAAAACACCTGAAACTGCTTACACTGGTGTATTTAAGGGATGGCCAGACCTGCAGACTCTGCCTTGGTGTATGTTTTTCCTGGGCCCTGTATCCTGTTCCTGCTTCCTGTTTCTGTTCCTGTTCCTATTCCTGTCTTGTTGCTGACCTGGCCTGATCTATTCCTCTGCTGACTTCTCCTGCTCTGACCCCGGCTCGTTCCTGACCATCCCTCTGCCTGACCCTCTGTACCACGCTGCCCGCTACCTGCTGACCCTGGCTTGTGACCCCGACCATTCTCTGCTTGCTCCCCCTGCCCGATTGATATTGACCCGGCCTGCCTGACGACGCTTGCATTGTTTGTACTGTTATCTGTGGGTGGTTGGTTTGGTTTGTTTGCACTGTATTATGTTTAGTATTGCACTGCGTTTATGTTTGTATTGTTAGTGTTAATAAATCGTATTGTTTATAACATATCTGAAGTCTGCATTTCCCTGCATCAGTCACACACACCTCTGGTCATACCCGGGAGCCCTGACAGGGGTATACCGAAAGCTGTACTGTAAATCTGCACACGACCAAGCCCCATCCAAGGAGTATAGAGCATGGAACACCTGTGCAAAACACAGATTTGCAACTTTGACATGTGCTAGTAAAACTGTACATATCATCGCAGCTACTCAGTGTATCCAGGTGAATTTCAACTTGTTTTTTCAAGGCCAAGTTGGACTTTCATTTGGTGGTAAATAGTAATAGATATCTCCTGTTTCTTTTTGTTTACGATCAAAGAAATTCTGGCACAAGATAGTAAAACATTATTTTTTAAACTGTAACTGTATAATTTTTTCTATTACCATAACCTTCAGCCCCCCCCCAAAAAAAAGCGCTAAATAAATTCCCCTGTTCCTTACAATTGCAGTGACACCACATGTTCCTAAGTTATTTGTTGTTTGTACCTGTACACGCTGACGCTAACACTGATACTAATTAAAATATTTTTTTTAAATTCCTACCTAAAATACATGCACCCTGACCTTTGACTCTGACCATGATCTTTAACCCTAACCTTGACCCTAACCCTGGCCCTGATCTGGATCAAACTCTGAAGTAGCTTTTTATTCTTTATTCTATTATTATTATTATTAACCGATTCCCGACCGCCCTATAGCAGAAGTACTGCTACAGGGCTGTGCAAAATCATGTGTGTATGTATACATGATTTTGTGTTTCTGGGTAGGGGGGCATTCGTGCACCACCCTAGCCGTGTTGCTATAGGTCAATCACCAGGTCCCGGCCAGAGATTCCCGGGGGCACACACAGCACACAGTTAACCCTTTGATCACCCCAGATGTTAACCCCTTCCTGCTTAGTGTCATTAGTAGAGCCTCAGTGCTTTTTATTAGCACTGATCACTGTATTAGTGTCACAAGGGATGTCAGTGACAGATAGTCAGTTCCCCCCCAGTGTCAGAATGTCTGCCGCAGTCCCATTATAAAGTCGCTGATCACCGCCATTACTAGTATAAAAAAATAAAATTCCAGTATACTGTATGTACACCACCATTTGTAGACACTATAATTTTCAAGTAAATCAGTTAATTTACACATATTGTGATTTTTTTTTAGCAAAGACATGTAGCAGAATACATTTTGGCCTAAATTTATGATGAAATTAGATGATTTTTTTATTGGATATGTTTTATTGCAAAAAGTCTAAAATATTGTTCTTTTTTTTCAAAGTTTTTGGTCTTTTTTTGTTTATAGCTCAAAAACACAACAACGCAGAGGCGATCAAATACCACCGAAAGAAAGCTCTGTTTGCGGGAAAAAAAAGAAATAAATTTAATTTGGGTGAAGCATTGCATTACCATGAATTGTCAGTTAAAGTAACGCAGCGCCATATCGCAAAAAATGGCCTGGTCAGGTAGGGGAGTATATCCTCTGGAGGAAAGTGGTTAATAATATTTTTTTTACATACTCTCCTTTGTTTACATTTTGTCCTCTAGCAAGGAGAAAAAGATACAATGTATCCTTTTTCCTATTTAAGTGGAGAAAAAAAAACGGGTGGGGCGTTCACTCCTTAACAACCAGAACATACCACATGCCTGGACCATTACTTAAAATGTGTTACTAAACCCAGGACCCTGAATTCAATATATCTGGTCTCCCACAGTACACAGAACATGAAAATGCAATCATTTTAGTCAACTGAACTGCTAAATACCTTTTCTCATCAGCAGTTAGAGCAGTCTTGTGACTTCAGCAGAGCACTGGTTAAAGCTTGTAGTTTTTTCTTTCTGCTCTAGGAGGATGCAAAACCCCTTAACTCTGTCTGGACAGTGCTGATTGGCCCTGTGATGATCACAGGCACTCTCCCAAGACAAAAAAAACCTCTCTAGCAATACACACTAAACTGAACATGTGCATGTGACTATGGGTTCAGCCTGTTTTATCAGGTGGACATTTGAACAAGAGGGGCAGAGAAAACAGAACCATACAGCCTTTTTACACAATGCAGAGGATTAACCCCTTAGGCTCCACAGTGAGTATAACAAACATGCTTTACTGCATATACAGACTGATTTTACTGTTGTCGGTATAGTAACACTTTAATTACCGAATGCATTTAATTATTTATTTCCTTCTGTGAATTGACTTTAATTTCTTGCTATGCGATATTTACCGTGTGTTTTTGCTATTTGTGGTAAATACCGCATTTTATCAATAGTGAATTGACATTTTCAATATTGCATGCGATATGTGGTCACGTGACCGACATAACGCGTGTGATAACCTTTAGTGAATTGTGCCCTAACTTCTTTTTGGTGATAGCAGATACACTATATACATGGGCACATACATAGATACATACATTGCAAATGTAGGTACATATACTGTTAACAGCACTGATAGAATTAGTGTAGATAACATAAAAACAGTTTTACCATATAGAAAGTTTATCATTTTATTGAAGGTGCTCATGCAAATTCTTGGGCTTTAGCAGGCAAAATGGTGGCAATATGTCTTATGAGGAACTGTTATATCAAGCAATAATCTTAGGAGCTGTGCATTTAATACAAACTGACCTTGATATGTCCAGTCACCGATACCATTCAGCACACTCTCCGAATCCCCCGATGAAGTAAGTCGTAGAATTGGAGCTAAAGCTGACTCTTGATAGTATATATCATTATTGAAGATAAACACCTAGAAAGCACATCACATATCATCTAAAGTTTCCACAGAGCAGCTGCTAGAGGGTTGAGACAAACCATTTACCACTGAGAGGAGTTCAGCTTAATTTGTTAGTCAAGTCCATCTAAATCTGCTAGTCTAAGGCTGGCCATACACTATATACATTTTTCTGTTCAATTTCTGCCCAATTTCCTTTAGATTTACCTTCAACTATGTAGTGCAGGAGCCTGCTTAATTGGATACAATTGAAAGTGTTGTTAGGTTTGACCTCCTATTGTATGGTTTTTGGTAAATCTAAACCAAAACATCTCAAGAAAATTGTATAATGTATGGCCAGCCTTTCACTGCCCTCTCCCCAGACTAATTACGCTGCTGTCCAAAGATGTACACATGTAGCAAAACTAGGTTGGTTTGGCAGGAACTGGCCGAAAATCAGTCATGTGGTCCCTTGACTGTTCAACAGAAGTCAGTCTAAATATCAGCTCCTGTCGATTGGTCATGCTGGAAAACCAGCATTTGATCACTGCATACAGCTGCAGCACTGATCAGTGTATTCTGACAGGGGAAGCAGTCCCCGCTGTCAGAATACAATAACACAGCGAGGGAGATCCCTTCATCCACATCCCCAGTTTTTTGTTCAACCCACTTGATGAACAAACAAAGAAAACTGTGTACATTCCTAGCTTAAGGCAGGAAATTTGTTACTGGTAGGATCACCAGGTGAAATAAAGAGAAAAACACCCTAAAAATAGAAACAAATGCACCAACAACATCTAAGGATTGGTAAACTGAAATATAGTACATTTTTTATATCTCTAAGTTGTTTATAAACAGTAGTATAGTTTTTTTTTTAGATTTCTTTAAAAAGAAAAAAAAAAAGAATACACTTTTTAAAAAATAACTGTACAGTCCAATATTCAAATATAGATCAAACTGCTGCAGGTGAATCCTAGCTCTCATGTTCTTCCACTATGGTGGTCCAGTTTGCT